TTTAATAAATGTTCCCAATCACATGCAATTTAACAAATGTTTTGGATCGGTATGATTTTTTATTATTGTTATTATAAACTAGGACAATATTTTCATTGCAGATATCTTCAGTTTCTTTGCCAGTTTTTCCTGCAACCAAAATACGCAGTTAGTTTGACTCCGATTTCTCACTTGAAGATAGGCTTACATAAGCTACGCTCAGATAGACTTACTGATGATTCGACCTGCTGGGGTACGTATCGCACTCCACCTTGCTTGTTCACGTGGTCCATGTGGGCGCGCTCAGGGTCCCCCGGGACGAGCACCGGGCGAGATGGGTCCGCCTGAATGACAACGACAGCAGTCCAACGTCAGCCGCGCACCATATTGACATTGTCGAACTTGTCAAAACTGCCACTACCATCTTACCGGCTCCATCGTCCGCAACCGGGACAGAAGATCGGCCGCGCGGTCCTCAAAGCCCGGGGCGAATGCGGCAGGATCTACGGCGATGAAGCATTGACCGAGGTCCGCGTTCTGACCAGACGAGCCCCAGCGCCGAATATCCGGTCCGTACGCCGAGCCTGAGTGTGCAGGCGCTCAAGTTCAGAGTCCAGGCGCCGGGTAGGCCACCCATCCCGACAGAGGCGCGACGCGGGACGGCCTACCCAGCGATTCACAGGCGCTTAAGGGTCCAGGCGCCGGGTAGGCCGCCCAGCCCGACAGAGGCGCGAGGCGGGACGGCCTACCCAGCGACTCACAGGCGCTAAAGGGTCGAAGCGCCGGGTAGGCCGCTCAGCGCGACAGAGGCGTGTCACGGGACGGCCTACCCAGCGACTCGCAGGCGTTTGAGCGTCCGGGCGCTGGGTAGGCCGCTCAGCCCGACAGAGGCGCGACGCGGGACGGCCTACCCAGCGACTTAAAGGCGCCCCGATCTGGCGACACCAGTTGGTGGAGGCACGCGGGCCGCTGCAGGAAGGGATGTGGGAGGAACTTACTTTATGGTCTGTCCCATGGACATAGAAACCTCGGGGCAGGTAGGATAGGTATAGGTAGGTTATCTTCATTGTTGGAAGATTGGAGCCATAGGAGCATATGAGAGGAGCAGGGCTTGCAGAGGAACCTTGGTAACGTCTGGCTCACCTGCGAGAAGTCCGCAGAAGGTCTCCACCATGAGGGCGAGCCCGTATCCCTTGTAGCCGGACGAGTCCTCGGCGCCACCAAGCGGCATGAGGCACTGCGTCTTGTAGGCCAGCTCGGCGTCCGCCGTCGCCGCGCCGTCCGGGCCCTGCGCCCAGCCCGGGGGTAAGGGCTCGCCTCGCCGCCGCTGCATCTCGACCTGCGCGGAGGGGCAGGGGGGTCATTGAGGCGGAGAGAGGCAGAGCGAGCGACGTCGTCAGGGACCCGAGGGCGGGGACTCACCTTGCCGAGCGCTACCGCGGTGGTTGCCATGTCCAGGACGTAGCTGTCGGACCCCGCGGGCACCGCCAGGGAGATGGGGTTCGTGCCCAGGGCAGCCTGCGCATAGCGGGGAGGGTACCGTCAGTCACGGACACGCACTCGACGTGAACACCTCGAGCAGCTGTGCACTTACCCCTTTGCTCCTCGTCGGGCTCACGAGCGGCGACGTGTTGGTGAAGCTCATGCCCTGGAAGTGAAAAGAATAGATGGAGTAAGGACAGGGAGTGTCCCTCGTACAGACGAAAGGTGAAGCAAGTAAAGACACTCACCATCATCTTTTTCTTGAGAGCCTGCATGCTGTACCAACCCGCGATGCCGTAGTGGTTAGAACCTGCGCCAGCAAATAGTAAGGATCATCACAGAGCAAAAACGGCAAACACTCGTCAGATATGTCGATTCATCCAGCATACCCTTGGCGACCACCCAGCCGACGCCCGTCTGCTGGGCCTTGTCGATGGCGAGCTGCATACAGAAGCGGCCCACAACGGGACCCAGGCCGTGGCCACCGTCCACCCACGCCGTGGAAGGGCCCTCCCGGAGCAGGCGCGGCTGGGCGGCGGGCAGGCAGCTCCCCGCGGCCACGTCGTCCACGTACAACTCTGCGAGGGGGGCGTGTCGTCAGGAGGTGCCGGGGAGTTGGAGGTGGGGGTGCACGGTGTAGAGACACCGTGTGGGGGTGTGAGCTCTGCACAGCACTGCGCGGACACTCACCGAGCCTGTTGAGGCCGTGGCTGTAGTGGCCGCGGTAGTCGGCCTCGACCAGCACCTCGGCCAGGAAGTCGGCGTTGTCCTTGGCGGTGCCCACGGCCCTCATGGCGTCCGAGATGAAGCGCCGTGCCTCGGCCAGGGCGACGACGGAGCCCTCCGTCTGGGGGCTGCAGCTAGCGTGCCGCGCCGGGACCTGGGCAACACCAAGCAGTGCATGACGGCTGGAAGACTGCTTTGTGTCCGTCACTAGGGTGCTGGCTGATATGGCACAGTTCGTCCGCTCACCTCATACTTCCCCACGCGCGCAGCGAGGCGACGCGCCCCACCGCGGATGACGGACAGTGGCATTCCCCGACCTGAAACAGGAGTAGTGATCACCTGCCCAATGAGAGGAGTGAGCCGAGCCGGCCCGCCTGCCGGGTATAGCGGCCCTTACGTAACAAGTGTGGCACGGCTAAAGCTTGCGTTGCGTTACTGCAGCAGAGTCACAGGTATTACACTCACTGTTAAAAAAAAAGTCTGAAAATTCAGACAAATTGGTAGGAAGCAAAATTACATACTAAACGTCTGAAAATTCAGACTGTTTTGTCTGAATTTGTGGTATGAATTTTTTGGTATGAATTTTCAGTTATCTTAGTCTGAATAGCAATTTCATAACTTAAGTCTGAATTTCAGATCTTCATTTAAAATGAAGTTTTCTTGACGCTCTTTGCCCTCTCCTTCAAGTTGGGTTGTATTCTAAGTAATTAGATAGAAATTTGTTATTGTACCTTACCTACCTACCCGGAGTCGAACCTCGGACCTTTGGATTGGTAATCTCTCATCCTTGACCACACGGCCACGACGACAAGACTGAGGGGTCACCGACAGTTACCTGCCTGATCCTACAGGTGTGCTGCCGGGACTAAACTAAATATTCATACTTTTCTTGTCTGAATTTCAGAATCAGACCTTCGTCTGAATAAATACTCTGAATTTTCACATTTTCTTGACTGAATTCTTAATTCAGACCTACAGCAATGAAATTTCAGACGTTCACTGAAAATTATGACAAAATTGTATGAAAACCCAATTCAGACAGCAAAGTCTGAAAAAGTTAGTCTGAAATTTCAGTTTTTTTTTAACAGTGCTGGTACCATATCGCCCATTTATCACCAGATAAAGAACTACCCACAGAGAAATGGGCAAACACCGACGACGTGTGAAGAGTTAGACAGAACAAAGTAGTTCCCCCGCCAGTTACGTCATCAAGGGGGAGGGGGAAGAGGGTGCGTGATGTAAACAAAACAAAACAAAACTTACTGGTGGCGGGAGAGGACGCACCGACAGCAACCGCGTAGCGGATATTCGCATACGAAAGGAGAAGAGGTGTGAAGTTCCGTTATAGTTGCTTACAGTTTTCTTAAACGGCGCCTGGCCAAGGGACACCAGTGCGCGCCAGGTTGTTCGAGACTTAACCTCACAACAAGTGGCACTGACACTGATAAAAGGGAAGTGAGGCGCTTACACTGCACGGTGATGGCAGATAGTGCGTGGCACTTACCGCACGTCTGCGGATTATTCTGTCGGTGGATGATCCTTTTTTTTGCACAGTCGGGCTCCTTTAGCAAAAGAATGAGAAGCAACAGCGCCAGCACCAGCAACAGTAGTAGTTGACCTCGAGCTCGAGCGGCGAGCCGGGCCGGGCAGGG